CCTATTGGCCTGGGAAGATGAACAAAGGAAGAAGAATAAAATCTAAAGTGTGCTTTTCAGCTCCAAAGATCAATAACTTGTTTGTCGGCCACAATGACTTGGAAGAAGAGTGGGAAAAAGTGGGGTGAAGGAGCATCGGCATGTGCGTACGGTGTTCTTTCAAGACATGCTTACTCACTTCGGTGTACTGAGCTGCCAATGACATGTGAAAAGCCCTACTTGGAACTTTGGAAGACTGTTATTTAGTTCCTGGTCATAAATACTTCCTTCTCAACAGCTTATTCAAAAAACTTGCATCAACTGAGTCTTTTTCTGTTATTTTGAGAAAAACCTTTCCTGATATTTTTATAACCTGTATGTTACGCTCGACCTAAATCAACTGAATGCTTTCAATTTCAAGCAGTGTTGAACACATGCATGAAGAAGGTTCATGAATACACAAGTCGTGAATACATGTGACCATGAGAACATGGCTTTACCATATTGCTCAGTAGCATATCGAGTCCGAACCATTGAATTTCCATTCTCGTGTGTGCAAAGCTATACTGCATAATAGATTGCATGCTACTTTTCAAATACAAGACATTTCATGGAGGAAAAAAACAAGAAAAGAAAACAAAAGTAGGTCTAGCACTCACCCTAAGACGTGGGTAAAAGTAGCCATCAGAACAGTGCAACATTTTTTCCTCAAGGTGGAAAAAAATAATAGATAACTTAACAATCCAGACAAATAAATGAGAGATCAACAGTCTAGGAATGATGTGATTCAAGAATAAGACTCCAACGATAAGGGTCCCAAGCTACGAGTGGTTCTGCGCTTCAATAGAATAAAACATCCACAACCATAAGTGGAGAGAAGTAAATTTGCCGCTGCACTACACACATGTATGAGTTTCTGGATGTAAAAGAGCTAGTGAGATACCGTGCATATCTAGTGCTGACAAACCTATGCTATGATTAGCCCCCAAATTATTTTTAAACCCTCCAAATTTTCTGACTAATCAACTTCACATCATCCTACTTTTCATGCCGCCTTTTCCTTTTCTATTCTTTTTTATTTCGATAGTAAAATCCATGCAAACACTATTCATCACTCCCGATCCCGCGTTGCCGATTCGGGGATCCCGGGGCTGGATTAGGACTGACATTTGGTTCTCATCGCGGAGCATGTCACAAATCGCTAATAATCCCGAGAAAGGATTAGGAGAGCATCGAGCATCTGTTCAAAGTCAATTGATAATTATATCCAAATCAAAAGATATCCTTAAACTAGGCTGTCACTAGCAAAACAAAAATGAACATCCAGGTTAATTCCTATTGACTCACGCAGAGGAACGTGTTTTCCGCAACAGATCTTGAAGCTGGGTGTGACATTATAATAAAAATTACAAACCCTCACACTGATCAAGACCGTATTTACATCAATGTACGTGTCAAGTCTGAGCAACGATTCAACGATAACTCAATTCAATTTACGGTACAAAAAATACAAATTTGATAAGAAAACTGACAGATATAGATCATTAACAGTAAAGGTCGAATTTTGGTATTATTTATTCAGTCTGGACTCGTTCTGGATTTGCTACTGCACATTTCAGTTAGAGTAGTTGAATTACTTGAGAAAGATGCCAAGACGGAGACTGAATTCATTCACAAACCAGTTGTCTTATGGCCTCCAATTCTGTGAGAGAAGCAGAAATTGAGATTGATAGAGATACACTATGTAAGGTAAACCTCACCCATCTGAGAAAAGATGCTCTCTCTCACCACAACCACAATTAAATTACCTGAAACTTAGCTTTTTGAGCCCAAAATTACAGGCCCGAATCTAATTACTGGATAGGGTTTTATCTCCTGCTGCCACGCAAGCTAGCCGTTGGGATCGTCTGTCTTTTCAAGCACCTGGAAATAAGGCATTACAAGCCATAGCGACGATGGAACCTCGTTACCAATCTACAGAGGTATTCTTTGCCGCTCTAGTCCAGGATAGACGCATGCTGAATCCCTTTTAATTTGATCAGCGTAATAAAGACTGGGTTTGTTGATGAAAGGGGAGGGGGAGGCGGAATTAGGTCACATACAATGACATCCAACCGTGCCCCTTTCATGCCGACATATAATTTCATTTCTGACGATGAAGTCATAATATTTGGTAACCATGGCGATGGAGTTAGAGATGAAATACAGAAACAAGATGAGGGATTGACTACTGCTTTCTATATCTGCTAGGAGACTGCAGAGACTGATTTATTATTGCGTTTGCGATATGATTAATGGAATTGCTTGTATCCTCGCATTAGACGACCACAAAGGATAAGCAAGGGAGTAATTGCAGCGCGACAGGAGTGATGGAATGATTCGGATTGAGATATGACCGTCAGCGGCATCACCAAACTAAGAACAACAAGCAGCACATTCATACCGTCCAAGGTATGCCACACCACACCACACACCAGCGCGCCATTCACCCTCCAACCTCCAGCCTGGTGTTGCATCTCATTTCCTCTACCAGCATCACAAAGATGCAATCCGGAGGATACCGGTAGACGACTCACACGAGGGATGCGGGGTGACGGAGGAGGGACGATTAATTGGGACTCCCGAGCATCACCCCTCAAACCCAAGGAAAATCAATTTGACTTCAAAAGACTCCAAGCCGCTTCCTCCCATATCAGGCAATTAACACGGGATAAAACATCACGTTTTCATCCTTCTACGCCGACCATTATTTCAAAATTGGGCTAAATATATCCAGAGAGTGTGTAACACAGGAATAACGCACCAACTACCAGTAATTCAAATCCAGAGAAATCATGACTACTCACACAAAAGGTTTATACATGAAATACAGCTCAGCTGAGATATAATGAGCTTGGAAATGGCTTCCATAAAACCATCTGATAAGCAGTGCTTGGCAATCCTTTATTACTTCTTCAAGCTGATAACAAGAATAAAAAGAAATGTGTTGATTCACAAAGTAACATCAAAATATGCCGACAAGTTACTGGCTGCCGATACTGTCTCGGATTAAAGAGCAATGATTTTTTTTCATTAATCTGGTGAAGCATGAATAAGTTTTATTTTCAATCAAAGCTTATTTTGACTGAAGTTGATATCATGATGGATAAAGCAATTCAAGCTATAATAACAATATTTCAACACTGTTAATTTTACTTTTCTATTTTCAATCTGACTTGCATGAAAAGAGAATAGAAAGAGGTTTCCTTTTTTAAAATAAAATTAACGATGTTCAAACTGCTTGAATTCCATATTGTGCTGTTCATCAATGTGTCTACATTTCTTGAAAAACTAAATCTCTCTTTCTAGGAGTCAAGTTGTTGTATTTTCCTTCTACAACCATGATATGCGATGATCATCAGTTGTGACAACTTCAAGACAGTTTCTTGCATGTTCTTTAGACCATGTCAATGTTATTTTGCTCATGTTACATCATGCAATTTAACAGCAAAAGTGATCTACTTTTCCAGCCTTGCATACATACATACTCCACACACGAATGCACTCACTTTCGCAGCCCAACAATTTTCCGGCAAAATGCACTTTTCCCATCAGCAAACTTTTCCAGTTTGATGAATTTTCTGCTTGATAAGCTAAATTCCAAACAAACATCTTCACTCGTTCAACATGCATTTACCGGTAGTTTCTCCATTTTCATCCCCCCCCCCCACCCCTCAAAAAAAAAACGAGGGCAGGTACATACAGCTGAAAATTACGATGCAAAATGTGTTTTCTTTAAAACTAAGAAAATTGAAATGCCTGAATCCAATACATGCCTTTCAACTTACACAAAATGGATTTAAAGTAGGTACTAGACTTTTATATTTCATAATTACTTTGTTAACCGATAATTGCGGTGACTTTGCTTTCCTCTCACTTTACAATCTCCTAGATCGAGGCTATAAGGCTCACAGGTAATTTCTTACAACAGTCAGAAAACATGAAATGGTATGTGTCTGACTACATCTCTACCTTCCTGCACCTATAAGGCCACATCAGTTATATATAGCACTGTCCACAGAATGAAAGGAACGAATCTCTCTTACGACATAGAGCTAAGGCCACATAGCAAATAGACTCCCCACTACAATTGCATTTGTTCGCAAATAAAACGTGGCATGTTTGAAATTAACTGCGGTATGCACTATTTGAAGGTCCCCTGTATGTATATATTTTTGATAGCCTTGTTTTCATTACGACATGTATTTGATATCAGAAATAATCCAATAAAATCTATCCCTCTGCTTAGAGGGACCCAAATAATGTCTTCCCCCTCTCTCTCCCATAAAACCCATTTGCACTACCAAAGATAGCACTATATTTATCGCAATACATCCATAGATGTACCGTTAACCATACTTGTCAATATATGCACAGTATCTAGATAGAATATATATGTGACCCGCTACGGCAAAACCCGACGCTTCTCGGCAAATCCCATTGTGTTGTAGGCCCGTTTGAACATGAAATTTCGAATTTAGGGATCAACTGAGATTTTTGCATGGTCAGAAAGTCTATTTTTTATAAATTGATTTAGAGAAAAAATGAACTCAAAAGACGATCTAGAAGTATTTTTAATTATATTTTGTATCTAATCATGTGCTCCATTGTCCAGTGAAATTAGTTGAAACAATGCGGTCAAAAGAGGGGAAAGTTCGCGATTCATCGCTTGTTGTTTTCCCTCTCAGTTTATCACGTTTGAGTCGATCCCTGACGTACTTGGTACGAAAATAACGAGAAAGGATCGGTTATTCCAAATATGGTTATATTGGGCGGTCCTAAATAAAATTGCCCAATGAAAAATGCCATAAAAGATGACATCATTTCGATAAGCTGTCAAGCAGGCCGTAAACAAAAGCCCGTTGCCAGCCACGTGATCCAAATCCAGACACTTGATTCGCCAATATTCGCACATGACGTCATTGCCTTGTTGTTGTGATTGTTCAGCGGTCAAATTCTCGCATCGAAACACCAGATTTTTCTTCGAAAACTTGTTCAGAAGTTTGTTTTTAATGAGCTAGAGTTTCATATATCAAGTGAAATACGTGTATTCGTCGAGTGGCTAGTACAATGTCGAGGAAAAAGAGGAATTTAACGGATAAAACCGTCGCTTCTTTGTTGAATGATGCATCGGCGTGCGGTATGGACGTGCATGGCTTGACCGAACACTTGGCTGACTACTTCGCGAACCCGACCGAGCCCCTGGCCGCGGGCGAGAGAGGAACTCCTTCTTCTCCTAGGCCTAGCTCCGACTCTGAATCTGGTAGGTTTATTAATATTATCATTATTAAAAAGGTAATCAAGTTACTTAATTAGGTCTACGCCCATATTATTTATTAAAGACTTGTTTCGAGAAAAAAATGTTCGAGCAACAAAAGCTAGATTACTTTATTTTAAGTGCACTAGACCCCTCTAGATTCTAATTAAAATTTAGATCTATAATTAAATTAGATTATGATTTATGAAGCTTCTCATACCGATAAAAAAAATCTCTGCGGAGTCTAGACTTCTTGTTGATATTAGTTTTTGAATCTCTATTTTATAATTGTACTTAACAGAGTCTGATGAGTTCGAGGAGGCAGGTCCAGGACCAGCAGAGCCTTGTGAAAGCCGCGATGAAAGCGGCGATGAAAGCGATTGGGTCGATGAGGCAGAGGAGCCTATGGATTTGTCAAGTGACAATGAAAGCGTCATACGGAGACCGGGTCCTGTCATTGATGACGTGGAGGAGGAGGCGGCAGCGGCTACAAATCTGGCCCAACAAATAGATCTTGATCTGGAACCGCTGAAGGATCGCGTGAATAAATGCAACTGCCGTATCTTCAATGGAAGACGCTGTATAGAACAATTCTCTGTAGCCGAACAAGAGTCCATAAGGTATGATTGGATCTGTCACTATTTACTCCTATTTCTTTAAAATAATGTCTAAGGACTGGATGTTTATGTACAAGCTGCAGTTTAATGCAAAATATAGTTACATTTATTCTAAGCTAATTAGATTTTCTCCTTTTTTGCAGCATTAATCAGTAGACCCTGAATATGTATGCTTTTATAAAATACTTCACCACTAAACTGCAGTCTACTGGTATCTTATGAAGAAAAAAATACAACAAGTTGGACATTTGGTTTTCTTATTATCATTATTATCATTGGAAGTAGATACTAGTAGCATTATTATTTTTCATTTCTATTTTGCCATTTCAGATATTCAACCAAAGAGCTCACGGAGTTCGAAAAGGATTTACTTCTCCTGGGTATCATTTCGTCTTCCATCAATGATGGAAATATGACCCAGGGGAAGAAATCTAAGCCAATGGAGAGGAAAAACACAAGGATGCGGAATTTTTGCTATGGGCAGAAACGGATCTGTAGATATACGTTTTTCTACTTGATGGAGATTGGGCCACAGAAGTTTACGAATCTCAAGAAGTGGTATGCCAGCAATGGACTCATCCCAAGGAGAAAGAAGTCAGGTGAGGTGGTTTTCTTATCCTTTCACAGATGATGAAATTTATAATGACGTTAACATTATTTTAATTACATTTATATTGAATTATTATTATCTTCAGGTGTGACTTCATAATAATTTGTATTATCATTTTTTGATGCATTTAGTCATAGTAAATCTACCAAAGGTTAATTGCGATGGTTTTTTTGACAGTTATTTTCACTACAACTGGACTCAAAACTTGACATCTAATCCCTCTACTTACTGTTTCAATCTATTCCGACACAATACTGATCATAATAAATCTTACTTTTGTTCAATATTTGTTCATTGTTTTCCAGGAGGACGGAGAGGCAAGAAACTTCTCAAGCTAGAGCAGGTAGAGGCGGTCGTCAAATTTATTTTGAATTTCACCGCAGAACACTGCATTCACCTACCAGGCAGGATACCAGGGTTCAAATCGGCTGATGTGAAACTGCTGCCGTCCTACGTCACCAAGGCGCATCTGTGGAGGATCTACAGAGATGCTGCTCCAGAGCATGGACCCGTAGCTGAGTCTACCTTCCGAAAGCTGTGGAGCGACCTTCTCTCCTATGTGGTTGTTGCCAAGCCGGCCACGGATCTCTGCTGGACATGTCAGCAGAACAACAACCTTATCACCAGACAGGTGTGTGTTGGCTAAATACCGATTGTTTTAAATTTCATTTTGTTTTACGCTGCTGCCCCCAATGGTGCTAAAGTATTTTCACGTAGAGTTATAATATACATGTATGTAGCTATTAATGTACCAAGCATAATCAATATTATAATTTGGATCCTTAGGAAAACGTTACAAAGCTCTGTCCAAATTTCAGGTGTTTTAATGAAATGAAATTTGCTACAATACATTTACTCTTTTCTTCTTCCAAGTCAACCAACTTTTACTTTATTGTGAGCTGGTGTTTTCCATTTGAGAATGATCTACTTTGTAGTGTAACAAAAAATATTTAATTTGTAAAGAAAAATAGTAGATGAGAAAATTCGACTTATCAGGAGATTTTTGTTTTGTTTTGCTTTTTCCCTCATGTCTGCAGGTCAATGTTCCTGATGAAGAGAAGACAGAGGCACTCAGGAGGCAGGAGGAGCATCTTCTGGAGGCCCAGAGAGAGCGGGATGCCTACAGGACAGCCTGTCAAGCCTCAAAGGCAGTCGCGAGAGAGCATTCTATCAAGAAGCTAGGGAAAAATGCTGCGAACTCCAAGCCTGTAGTTTTTCATTACAGCTTCGACTTTGCACAGCAAGTGCATTATCCAGCTGACCCCCAACAACCTGGCCCTTCGTATTTCCGTACACAAAGAAAGTGCCACATCTTTGGCATGGCTGCAGAGGGTCTGCCTGCTCAAGTTAATTACCTTGCAGATGAGGGCGTCAGCTGTGGTAAAGGAGCCAATGTTGTTGTAAGCTACATCCACCATTTTCTGGAAAACTACGGGATTGGAGAACAACATGTGCACTTCAATGCTGATAACTGTGCTGGACAGAATAAGAATAACACCATGCTCCAATATCTCTGTTGGCGTGTGGAGAGTAATCTCCACAAATCTGTCTCAATTTCATTTTTGCCAGTGGGACATACTAAATTCGCCCCTGACTGGTGCTTTGGCCTCCTCAAACAAAGGTACCGCAAGACCAAAGTCTCCTGCCTCCAGGACATAGTTAATGTTGTAGATTCTTCTACGGTGTCAGGGGTCAATATTCCACAGCTCGTTGGAAATGAGAAGGGGGATGTGTTTGTGAAGGTGTACGACTGGTCCAACCATCTTGGCAAACACTTCAAACGATTTCCTCGTATAACATTCGCCAGACACTTCAGAGTTACTGAAGATCATCCTGGTAGAGTGTTTTACAAGGAAAAGTCTGACAGTGCTGAAGAGATGTTTGACCTTGCTCGCTCGTCACCTCCACCAACACTTCCTCCACTCATCCAACCTGCAGGACTTGATGCCAGTCGCAGGAAATATTTGTATGAGCAGATCAGAGAGTTCTGTACGCCAGAGACTAGGGACTTGGTATGTCCAGCACCAGAGTAGCTTGGGTCAAACCATAAACTTTAGGTACTTAAATTCCTCTAGGACGTATTCAGCATTGAAGTGTACAAAGTATTTTTTCTGTCTACATGTAATAAGTAGCAGTCACTTTGTCCACTATAGTTTCTGCCATTTCAGTTCAGCAATATAATAGCTTGGGTCAAACCATAAACTTTAGGTACTTAAATTCCTCCAGGACGTATTCAGCATTGAAGTGTACAAAGTATTTTTTCTGTCTACATGTAATAAGTAGCAGTCACTTTGTCCACTATAGTTTCTGCCATTTCAGTTCAGCAATATAATAGTTCCATGTGTTCATTTATTCTAAGCTTGATGCATATCAGCACTTAACATCAGCACTAAATTATCGGTGTTTGGCCACTGCCATATGTTTCTATTTGTAAAGGTTTTTGTTAGATTGACATTAACAATGTCTATCCTATGTACATACTATTGATCTCTTCGGCTGTGAATTTTGTATGAAACGAGATAACTCAAAAGATTCAAAACTGTACATCATTAATTCTTGGGCACTAATGCATAATAGTTCATGATTAGTGTAGTCACTAGTCAGATTGCATTTTTTATGGGATTCGTTATTGTTTTTTCTTTACGTTGATAATGAAAGAATATAATTATTTTATATCTGATACTGATTGACTGAAATTGATATTTTTGCATTATTAATCTCTATCTCAAGAAGACAATAGTTCTGTCAAATTGTCTCAACTGTTACTTTATTGTACATTCCTTAATGTACCAGGATATTTTTTACAATACATGTATTATAGGTTATCTGTTGTCGAGTGACTTATAAGTTTTTTTGTTTTTTTTTAAATCTCAAATAGCCTTGATTAAGACTAATGCTTTTTATCATAGCTTTTATTAAATATGACAAAATATAAATCATTTTGAACTCGCTTCTTGTGTTCCAGTAATTATCATTTAAAAAACAGATTCTGTCGGGTTTCAAGTTCAACGCAATTTGTTATTTCACTTTATTGCAATCTTTTTTTTAATATATTTAAAAAAAAAAAAAATCATTTTTATTACATCTGGTTTTGTAATAGGCCTATTATTAAGCATAAATTTTAAGAAAATGCATTATTACATTTTATTATTGCAACATTGATGTAACCTGCTATTATTTTGTGTACGAGAACAATTTTGTACTGATGAAACATAATAAACCGTGGAATCGTTTTCCCAGCAACTTTGCCTAGTATAACAAAAACTTTGAAATTCTTTTGTTTTCTATTGTTTTTAAAAATTATCATAACTTTATTAATATTTATTCAAATCTAATGGTTTTAACAGAAATGTAAGTTGGGTATGTGTCAAGTATGCCTGAAAAATTACAAGACTTTAGCTTGTTTGGTTGATGCCGTTGCTATGGAGTGAATGTGTGCATGTTTTTTGTGTGAAAATTGAACCAAATTCTTAACTTTAAACCTCAATATCTCATAATTAACTTCCGGTGATTGAAATCACAAAAATGACAATAACTTTGTCAAATTTGAATCAATTTCTTTAAATGAGGTATCATATTAAAGGTCATACCTTACTCTTTCCAATGACACCAAGAACTCAATTTTCATTTTTACCATGAAGTGTTGGGTTTTGCCATAGCAGGTCACATATGTGTCATGTTTTAACCTGAATTATATTTCTCTTTCCAGTTTTCTCTGCTCATTTTGATTAAAGTTTAAATTGATAAAGTGAACAACATCAAAAAAGCAATCTAAATAGTTGCAAGTAGATTGCTTTGAAATTGTAAATGCAGTTAGTCTTTATGAATTTTCATATTTTATTTTACCATCAACGATTTCTGCTCTCATTTTACACTCTTACTCTTATTCACAGAGCTAGCATCAGCTGAACTACCAGATAAATATCATTTTGAAGTTTTGAATCGTAGATGATCTATTATTTAGGCTGAAATGAATGATTTTGCAATCACTTGAATACATACAGCTCATTCTCTTGTTCATATATTGCTCTCTCAAATTAAAAAAGTTACTCGAGCGCACTAATGTCTACTTAATCCAAATATCAACATGCGATGATGATCAACTGCAATTCACATTCAACAAAACAAGCATCAAGTCATCTGCAAAAACTGCAAATTACAGAGGCAAATATCAGAGTAGGAAAGCAAATGAATGCCCCTCATTTTTCATTTATCAAACTGACATGTCGCCCACCAACTGGCTGGTTTCACTTCCTGTTTCAAGCTTTTTGTCAATTGATATTAGATTTTTCTCACCCTTCACTTCAGCAAATAATGAAATGTAATATAAAAACCTAATATTTCAAATAGCCAGATGACCTCATCATTGCCTATAGTCAAGTAGCCATCCAGTACAAAATTGAAAGTAATAAATCACTCAAGCCTGCATCACATATGCTCTGTATAGTTACAGGATATGGAATCTGGGATACGGAAGTCTGCGTTATACCATCATTTACTATTTTTTCTTGCAGTTCTGTGAAAAATCAGTCGTAAAAAGAAAAATGCCTACACTTCTATTAGAAGTCTTATACAATATCAAAGACCTATGTACTCTGTCATCCCCTGTATATACTATCATTCACTATTTGTACCTTTTTCTCTCTTGCAGTTCTGTGAAAAATCAGTCGTAAAAAACAAAAGGCCTACACTTCTACATTATCAAGATGTATATGCACTCTGTCATCCCCTGTGTAATATACCTAGATGACATTGGGAAATTATAACCTTGCGTTTCTCGTTGGTGTTTGTTTGCACTAGATCTGTTACCATAGCAACAAAGCATCTTGTGTTAATCTTTGGACATTTCCTTCCTCTCTCTCTCTCTCTCCTCTTGGGTATTTGTTACTAAACACATTTTGCTGAGGTTGGGAAAAAGAGAAGTGCTCTCTCTCTCTCTCTACAAACACTCAGACTTGTCAATGTTGTGTTTTTGTTCATTATTCCTTGACAAAAGTGCTAATCCCCAGCGCCCAGCGCCCCCCCCCCCCCCCTCCCCTGCCCTGCCTCATTCATCCACAAAATACAAATAAGTAGTTCATCACAAATCTTGAATGAAAATACAGATTCAAAATCTGTTATAACATTTAAAAATTATAACGAAAATGTGTTTTGGGCTTGTTCTTCGCTGAACGGTACTAAATCAATGAAGAGTTAAAAAACAAAAGATTGAATTCTGTTAAAGTGAAAAATGTTTTTGTCATCTTTATCATTCTTTTCGTCCCTACGTGGAATGATATTACTTTGTAAGGATTACTCTTCATATTTTAAATATTGGACCTAACTTTGATGCCACGTGTGTGTAAACAGTCCCATTTACATATATCTGTGTGAGGTGATTTCTCAGCAAGATCGAGTTAGTTCAAGAAGAACAAAAAAATTATTCCACCATTCATAATCTTCACAATAGTATTCTTATGTACAAGTCCAAGGCCTCACAATAGCATTCTTATTTACTGCATAATCAACCAATCACAGTCGATCCCTAGGCCATCTCTTTCCCAATGAAATAGCACGACCACTCAATCCCGTCTTTAAACGGCACGTAACCGAAGCCTTTTTCCATGGACAGATGTGTTGTGCCTAGAGACCGATACACTAAGCTAAATGCCAACAACTCATCCATGATGTTACCATGGAGACGCTGCTCAAATCTGGGCAGTCTCTTGTCCATTATGCTCTTTCTCAGATTCTCTTCTGATAAAGGGATAGAAATGTTTTATATTCGTCTAATGCATAAGCTTAGACGTGTATAACTCTTCTAACTTTTACAGCTCACAAATGTATTTCAGAGTTTCAGCCATTATTTTGGTTTAAGAAATATCTATTATCATATTACTTTAATTGATTTTTCAATTATATTTTCTCCAAAGTCATAGATGACCAAATTTGTTTGATAAGAAGGAAAACAAAATCACCCTGCAACAATTCGATTGTTGTCATACCTAGAAAAGACAGAAGGGTCCACAAACAATATCATATTGTGTAAAGTTGGTTTCCACAAACTTTTTTACATAATTCATTATGAATATATATTGCTAGCAATATAGCAATTAGTGCAATTCTTCTAGACAGAGTTATCTACACAGCTTTCTTATAGAACATCGTATTCTTGTCACTTCTGGGACAGGCTTTGATAGAGCAGAGTGGTTGGTATCCCTCATCTATTTGAACATAACATTATTTCATGTGGAGTATTGCATGTCATTTCTCTGTAAGAAATGATACCAGTCTGTAGGGAAACCTACAGCACAGACAGCAGTCTGTTGGGTGTTGTCTGGGCCATATCACCCTTGGACTAGAGGATTAGATATGAGAGGTGTCACTGACCCTGATTGGTTCTGGTTCTCCCACACCCTCTCTCTCTTCCTCTCCCTCTCTCTTTCTCTCTCTTTCTCTCTATTGTTATCTTCCTCTCTCTTTCTCTTCTTCTCTTTCGCACACCCTCTCTCTTTCTATTTCTCCCTCCACCCTTCCCTCTCTCCACCTCTCCCCACCCCTCCCTCCCCTCGCCTACCCTGCCTTCCCTCCACACACGTTCTCTCTCTCACTCCCCCTCCCTACCATGTTTATCTCCTTCCTTCCCTCCCTCCCTCCCCCTCCCCCCTCCCTCACCCCCCCCCCCTCTCTCTCTCTCTCTCTCCCTCCCTCTTTCTCTTTCTCTCCTCACACTCAATCAGTCAGCCCCACGGGGGACCAACCTTATATGAGATCATGGACCATGCCACCATCAGGTGTAACTGGACTGCTGCACCAACCTCCAACATCAATTTCAATGTGTGGGACTGACTACATACATGATATCCACACCTGAAGTTTGGTCCCCTTATCTTATTTGTGCATCAAATATGTGAGGTTTCGTTCTATGAAAAATTATTTTTGATCTGTATATACAATCTTTTCCTTCGAATTTTATCTGAAATCTTAATCAAAAACACAAAACTGGTGCCCGACTCTGTGCCGCGGTGAAAAAGATTTTTTTTTTTCTTCCAAGATCCTCTCTTTTGGATATTATTACTTGTCATGGAATTAAATCAGGTTTGAATCAACTTGGGAAGTAAGAGTGGTATTATTGTTTGAATTCAATTCAGATATTGATCAAAAATACCTTTCTTAATGCTAAATAGCCATTATTATCCTGGTTGTTTCAATCTTAAGTGTCCACATTTTCAAGTGGGGGGGGGGATCAAAAAAAGATGTGCTTTAAATATATTTGTAGCTCCTCTCTCACAAGATACAAATAGGAACACAACCTCGTTAACAGTATGTTCAACTCAGAATTATTGAAAGTTTTCTATTACCTAACAAAATTAGAAGACTGAATTCATTGAGAGTTTCAAGTGCCATTGAATCTGCATAATAGTTGATACTCTATTCATTTCGAGTGCCCATTCAAAATTCCAAACATAGGCAAGCATTGCGAGTTTAATGTGTTTCTAATGCCTATAAGCTCCTTCTAATATCATTGTCCACAACATTGAAACATTAGGGAGTATAGCTAATCTTAATAGCTATTGACTTACAAAGGATATAATAGAAAGATAGGCAGAGAGAGAGAGAGAGAGAAAGAGAGAGAGAGGGGAGAGAGAGAGAGAGAGAGAGGAGAGACAGACAGACAGACAGCAAGACAAACAAACAAACACAAAGACAGAAACATAATTAGAAACAGAGACAGGTGAAGGAAGAGAGAGATGGAGGTAGAAGAAGAAAGACAGACATAAACTGAGATAGAGAGCCACATATAGAAAGAGAAAAATAAGAAGGAAGAGCAAAATAAGAAGATGAAGTTGATAGAAGATTAGCCTAGATGCTGTGTGCCTTTAAGCATTCAAAGCAGAGCTTTAATAACATCCAATTAGAGAGGTCTTTAACTTCACACCACTGTATCACATTCCAATAGCATGATGCCACAAATCTGCCCTTTTCACACTCTACTCCTACATCGGTCATTCACCAAGGGCCTCTCCCTTCTACTTCCTCCTCAAACACCCATCAAACCCATCTCACAATTTCCTACCAAATTTTTACGGACATCTCGAGAAAGAGGGAGGCGGAGGGTGGCCTCGTTTCGAGACATATCTTCTTCTAGAATTATATCTTCCGTTCTTCAAACCATTCTTTGGATCAAAGGCCAGGGCCGTCGTTTTATATCTTTTCACAAAATCTTTGCAATAATGCTTATTTTGTTGTTGTGAGGCTTTAAAAGTTCTTTCGATAATGAAAGT